CAAGTTTTTTCCTTCAAACATCAGTTCTTTGGAATTAATTTGCGATCTTTTAAGTCGCCTGTCAATCGTTATCTTGCTCTACAATCTTCATCTTTTCTCTTCCAGTACCTTCCAACACTAATTAGTGGTTGCTTGCAGCCGTGTTGGAAGCAAAGATGATAAAAAAAATAATAAAAACAAAACTGATAGTTCTTTTGCAAGGTTTTGCATTTTTTTCTTTTTTGCACTTTTAACTGCACCAATTTTTATCAAATTATATGTAGTGGTTCTCATTCTACAGGTGTTTTTATTGTCGTACTATAAAGTCAAATTTTACTTAAATTGAACATTCAAATTAAGTTATGTTACGCAGAAAAAATTAAAAAGATTTTAAAATTTGGATCACAGGGTACCTTGATGCATATGCTATTGTTGTTTCACATCAAAATCGACTTTATAAGTTTATCGTTAAACGCTTCATATTTCCTAATGCAATTCAATCATATTCTCTTGGTATTTACAACTATGACGCAAAATACAGTCATATACAGTCATATATACAATCAAATTCTCTGGGTATTTAGAACTTTGACTTTATATTATTTACAACTATTTACAATTAACGCAAATCGATCATTAACAATCATAAAATATAATTACACTTTACACTTCCCCTTGGTCACAATGACCATCTCGTCTCAAGGACTAAAATGTTCAGGGGCCCTCCTTTCTCGTGTGCTTCTACGTAACACTGATGTCTTGCTTGTTTTTTCTCCAGGCAATACAACGTATAACTCATCTTCTGAATCCTCACTTAAATCATTATCACCTCTTCCTTGTCCAAGATCTTCATTCGAATTGCTATCAACTTTTACTTGTCTTAGGGTTCGTACATGTCGACACATTTTGTCCACTTTTACCATTTGTACACTTCTACTTGAATCTTACGAGAATTTGAGAGTTTGAATTTATTGGTTATCTTCTTACGAGAATCAATGTGTTATCAATTCCTCTTACTCTAGTTTTGTATTGAGATGTGGTGTTATATTGAACTTATTTGCAGGTGCAGTAGAAGACTAGGATACGCAGACCACCGGCTCGCAATGAGGCCTATAGGTTTCATTGCGAGCCGGTGGTTCGCAATGAAACCTATGGGCTTGATTAAGTACGCGACGAACAGGTATTATGTCTTCATTCACAAAAATATCATCAATGTATGATGACGTTCCTTTCCAGATTGTTTCCTCTTGCGATAGCACTTTGTCCAACACCGCTTTCATTATGACTGGCGCAACGTTTAGTCCAAATCCCAAACGTGTTAAACAAAATCTTTTTTAATGGAACACAACAGTTTGGTAAGCCCAAAGTTTCTCATCAATTTTCAGTTGCATATAAGCTGAAGATAAATCAATTATTGAAACATTTTCTCTAAACCGTCTCTAATCTCGAAGTTTGTCAGCACACGCATCTGTGTTCGCAATGAATGCTTCAATAAATGTGTTCAGCTCCCTGAAGTCCAATGCTGGTCGTACTTTTCCTTTATTTCGCTGCATGACTGCCATAAGAGGAACCAAACCTTTTATTGGACCGTGTTTCTTCAAATCATACTTTTGCAGCCTTTTTTTCTCTATCCATCATTCGATTTCTTTTTTTTAATCGTGTTTTATGCCAACAGGGATAGTGTATTCAGCAATCTTGTTTACTAAAGTTTCAGGTTGAGAATTATTATTCCATTTCCACGCAATTATCCATTCTTGATTTTGTTTTTCAAACAAAGCTGTGAAATTTCGAGCTGTTATATTCAAATTACTGACATCTTTTGGCATATCACTTCTTATTCCAAGTAAACATGATTCATTTCTTCCCATAAAACAAACATCACGAGTTGCAGATATTGATACTCCACCAAAAGCTACTATTCCATCCATACCCATCAAAAAGCAATAACCAAGTGGTTTGAAGTCAACTAAGTGCAAAAACTTCATTCCCATTTGGCGTGACGATTCGAGTTTGGCTAACGCCTTCGCACTGTTGCTGTTGCCCATTTACAGTTACCATGCTAACTACTTTCTTTGTAATTTTTGGCGCACATTTTTTATAAATGATACAGCAGGTACATCCAGAGTCAATCAACACATCACGAAGAATGCTGTTAATGTCCAAGCGTATAGTAGGTAACGCCATTATTGATTTTTTGGGGAGAGAGCTGGCACAAACATCTTCTCTCTCGGCACATTTTTCTGACACATTCTTGATATGTCTCCTTTCTCTTGACACGAGTACGGCAAAACATTGCTTGTCTCCCGTCTCGAACCCAACTTGCTTCGATTGCTATGTCTTCGTAGATGACAATCTCTTGCAAAATGATTGGGGAGTTTACATTCATAACAAACTGGTTGTGTTTGATCTTCAAGCAACCTCAACTCAGCATGTCTTTTTGTTGCAGCAGCAGCAAAATTTTTATTTGTTCCATCGTTCCATTCTTCAATCATAAGTGCTCTTGCAAGTATTTGTATAGTAGTAAGATCGTCCATACGAGAACTTGATCTCAGCATCCGTCATACTTCCTCAGGAAACCGAGAAACGAAGGCACATGCAATAGCTCTGTCTAGTAGCCCACCAATCAGCGTAGATGATTGGTGGGCTACTAGACAGAGCTAAATAAACATCAACTGCCTCTCCATACTTTAACTTGTAACGAATTGTTCGTAAGCTGTAAATGCATCAACGCCTTTTTAGCAACGCCTCTTTTATCCGGTCAAAATCTTCTTTCTCACTTTCTGCTAACTGTTGATATACTGCAAATGCACCATTTGTGGGACGGAGGGAAACAACACTCGCCAGATCGGTTACACCAATTAGTTTGCATACTAGTTCCACTTTTTCCAGCCATTCTGCAACTGATTGTTGATCGTTTCCACTAAACTCTGGAATTAACTTTAAATCAATTTTAGTCCACATTTTTGTCAAAATAGCTTGTTGTTTCACATCAAAATCGACTTTAACGATTTTAGCGTTAAACGCCTCATATTTTCTAATGCAATTCAACATAATTTATATTCTATTGGTATTTACAAATATGACGCAAAATACAGTCATATACAGTCATATATACAATCATATTCTCTTGGTATTTACAACTATGACTTTATATTATATACAACTATTTACAATTAACGCAAATCCATCGTTGACAATCATAAAATATAATTACACTTTACAGCTATCACCTCATATAACTAGCATTCTTGTGTCAGCTAGGCTTTATCAGGTCCGTGCTAACTCGTGGTTAGCACAGATCCTGATAAAGCCAATCTAGCTGATAGATACAGATTATTATTTCAGTCTTTTTAAATTCCTGATTTTGCAAAATAACAAGGATGGTAGAGTTTATTATATTTTACCATGGAAGATCAAGCATTTTCATTGCATCTAAAATCAAAAAAATTGGAAGATTTTTTTTTTATCGATAGCTACAACCAGTCTTTTTAATACCAAAGATCTGAAATAAACTTTCAAAGAGCTCATAAGGCCCTGATCCATTGGTTGAAATTTAGACACGGTATTCTGTGGTAAAAAAAAATGAGCAAAATAGATTTTAGACTATGAATCACTCTATGTGCAGAGTAGTCATCTATTATAAACACTAATTTTTTTTCTTTTGTACACTTTGTATCCATTTCCTGAATCCATTCTTTGAACAGTACGCTATCCATCCAGCTTTTTTGATTTCTGTATCTGTAAGGTAAGTGCTTAACTGCTTTGAAGCAGCAAAAAATGAAGATCGAAGATCTTCACTGCTTCAAATGAGTTTAATTAAAATACAAAGGAGTTAAGGATTTAAACTAAAAATGACTATATATGAAAGTTTTAATTATAAATTACTTTATATGAAAGTTTTAATTATAAATCACTATATACGAAAGTTTTTATTATAAATTACTATATATGAAAGTTTTAATTATAAATTACTATATATGAAAGTTTTAATTATAAATTACTTTATATGAAAGTTTTAATTATAAATGACTATATATGAAAGTTTTAAGTATAAATTACTTTATATGAAAGTTTTAATTATAAATGACTATATATGAAAGTTTTAATTATAAATTACTATATATGAAAGTTTTAATTATAAATGACTATATATGAAAGTTTTAATTATTAATTACTATATATGAAAGTTTTAATTATAAATTACTATATATGAAAGTTTTAATTATAAATTACTATATATGAAAGTTTTAATTATAAATTGCTATATATGAAAGTTTTAATTATAAATTACTATATATGAAAGTTTTAATTATAAATTACTATATATGAAAGTTTTAACAAAAAATGACTATACAAGAAAATTTAACTAAAAATGACTACACAAGAAAGTATTACCTAAAAATGATTATATATGAAGATTTTATACAAAAAAGTTCTATTAGTTACATCATAAACGAAAGCAACAACAAAAGATACAAAAAATTTATTTACTAAACTATAATGCTATGAAACAGTAATAAATATTTTATTATTATTTTATTATTTCATCAAATAAGTATATTTTATACACGAATAAATTTTATGTCATCAAAATATATAAAAATTTAAAATATTTTTACTTATTTCATAAATTAAATTGTAAAATTTTTTTGAAGTTATTGTAAACAAACGATCAATAAAATTTTTTTGAAGTTATTGTAAACAAACAATCAATGAAATTTTTTTGAAGTTATTGTAAGCAAATGATCAATGAATTATAGTGCTAAGAATAAATTATATATTATTTGTTTAAGATAAATAATAATATTTATCTAATAAAAAAAATATTAATTGATTAATAATAGAAAAAATATATATTTGTATCTACATTCCATCTAAAACCATCGTTTAATGGAGGGAATTTGTTTTCATGACTAATTGAGTAAAAGACAGTTTAATACAAATTTAACAGAAATTATATAGTGAAGTTATAATAAACTCATATAGATAATCACAAAGTATAATTTTAACATAAAACTTACATGCGACTTTAAGCTTTGCCTTTGAGAACTGTGGTTCCAGAGTTCAGAAATCTGAAATTTATTACAAAGAATTTATTTATTATTATTAATTTATTATTACAATGAATGTCATTTTGAGATTATTAAACAGAAAATTGCAAACTTAACTTTATAAATAAAAATACCACTGCAAATTTAGATGGTTTTATTGGTGATATTTAGATTTTGTTTAATGCTATAAAAAATTTCTTTTCAAAACTTTAATAAAATTTATGTACATATATATAAATAAAAAAGAAATATATATGCACACACATTTGTGTGTGTGTTTATGTTGTTTTAGAGTATATATAATTTCAAGAAAAGGCTTGATTAATTAAATTAGAGCTGCAATCAAAATAAAAGTTATATGTGATCAAACTAAAACTACATAATTTTACAACTTTCAGTTTCATTCTATTTGCAACCATCAGATAAAGATATTTTTATCGTTAAAAATGTTTATACGCAAAAAATTGTGTTACTTGACATAAAACTATTGTTATGTGTAAACAATTGTTCTATTTTATCTCCAGATTTTTAAATGCTTAACTGAAGATTTTTTTTGTGATGATATTTAGAACTGTTTTTTTTATTCAGCAGCTAGTCAGCATTTTTATTGTGTAAAATAATTAGTTTTTCATACAAAGTACATTGTTTTGTTATTGTAAAACTCATTTTAGGACGATGTTAAATAACCCATTTCTTTATATCATTCTTTTGTTTACTATGAATACTTTTGCAATTTTGATTGAATGCCATATTCTATATATTTTATATATGTTTTATTTATATATGTTGTATATATTTTACATATACCATATATTAAATATATACAACATTTAGAACTAAACTCAATTTTTTAATTCAGTAGCAACATACCCAGCAAAGCATAAATTTATTTGTAAATATTATAAATTTAGAAAGATTAAAAGGGCAAAGAAAAGCGACAGGCTGATATAAACAATCATTAAAAAATAAAGAAATTTAAAATTAAAAAATTAAAAAATTTGTAAACTGAAGTATTATTTTTACTACACTGTTGTAAAAATATGAATCAAATGATGTTATGACCCAGAAAAATCTTTTGGGGGGTATGATTGTATTACCATTAGTGGTTATTGGAATATAAGTCCCTAAATCTGGTTACAACATCCGTGGAAAATCCATTTTCAAATTTGCATAAAATTGCAACTTTGAAAAACAGTAAAAATAACTTTTTCTATCATCCACTTCATAAATTTTGATTGTTGTGTTAAATAAGTTGTTTTAGGAAAAAAATAAAAAAAATTAGTTGCATTTTTTTAGTTTAAAAAAGAATATACATGTTATCAAAAAAAAAAAAAACTTTTTTATAAAGCACTAAGATAAAATTCTGGAAAAAATTTGTGACAACTTTTAGTTGTTCAATCTTTTTCATAGATTTGGCATCTCAATTAACAAAAACTTTGCCAAATCAAGCAAAAAAAACACAAAAAAAGCAGGAAGACTGTTTGCTTCTTGTGTCTTGGCAAAGCAAGTCATTTTTTAACCAACTTCATGTCAGAAAAATTGTAACATATTCTGTAGCAGCCAATTGACTTTAATGATCCAAATATCCCAACTGGCATTTGTGAGCGTTGCCGCTCCGACCTCAGGAGGCTTGAGGAGGGAAAGTGTCAAACCCAAACACAGCTGTTTGACTTCTCCACTATTAAGGTCCATCCTGTTACAAGAGATTTAGTTTGTGATTTTTTGATTTGCTCAGAGCGATAAAATTCTGGTGTGAAAAAGCTGGTGACAACACTAAATCAAGTTGTTCCAAGTCAGATTGTTGAGAAGAACTTTCTCTTCAAGTTGTTCCAAGTCAGATTGTTGAGAAGAACATGAGAAGAACTTCCTCTTCAAGTTGTTCTAACTCAGATTGTTGAGAACTTCCTCTTTAAGTTTGATCAGTTGAGTAAAAAACTTGAAAGTCATTTTACTAAAACTTGGACTAAAGTTGCAACTGACAAGGGCACAAATCAGGTGGATAAACTTGTCATTAAATGCAAAAACTTAAAAGTTCTTTGTCAGCAAGTTCTTGAAACTAGAAACCTCTCTAATGACTACTTGTTAAGTAGATGGTGGTGGTGGTTTTCTAAAAGTAAGCTTTGGAATCAAAGCTTACTTTTAGAAAATCAAATCAAATTTCAGCTTCATAATCTCTGCCATTAAAACAACTTTCACCAATTCTCTGGCCAAAAATTCTGGTGTTAAGTGTCAGTTACTGCTTGCCATTTCTGAAGATCTCCAGGAAAACTATAGCAATGTCAAGCAAGTTTTAATTTGCTAAACCTTAAAGAACTTTCCTATTGTTTTTTCCTGTGATATAAAACTGGCAAATATCATTTGTTTGGCCCAATATTGACTTCTTCTTTCTAGCTGTTCCCTTTATTGACACACAAAGGAAATTCAATGTTGTTATCCATGCTTGTTTTGGCAATGCCCTTGATAACAGCTGAAAAAGTTGAGCAATTCAGAGTCTTTTCTAAACCTTTCCTATTCATCCTCTTTAACTTAAGTTAAGAAATATTTGCTCTATAGACTTATTTTCCTTGTTTATGAAAAAGCCATCTTAAATTGTTTGTATTTGTTCAAATTGTTCTTTTGAAACGTCACAGAAATCAAAATACACCTCCAAGACCTTGATAAATATTAGAAGCTTTTCTGCCCTAACTATGGACAATGTTTTCTTTAACTTGGTACTGATTGTTATTAATTGTTATTATTAAACCAAAAAAGAGACTGAATGTTTTAATTTGACTCTTTCCCATTTGAATTATGAGTGGCATTTGAGTAAACTTAGAGTTTGGGTAGTTCTGTTCCCACTAGGTATTACTTTCATGGTTTAGAACCTTGAGTGCGCAATTATATCAATTATTATTGATTGTAATGATCGTAATCATAGTATGAAAATGATTGTAATCATTTAATGGGAATGATTGTAATCATTGTAATGGGAATGATCGTTATCATTGTAATGGAAATGATCATAATCATTGTAATGGAAATGATCGTAATCATTGTAATGGAAATGATCATAATCATTGTAATGGAAATGATCGTAATCATTGTAATAGGAATGAATGTAATCATTGTAATGGAAATGAACGTAATCATTGTAATGGGAATGATCATAATCATGTATCTGAGAAAAATGTATGACTTTTTTTAAGTGTTTTTATACAAGGTTTTTAATATAATCTTATAATCTTTAATATAATCTTATATAATCTTATATAATTTGTACATTATTAAATTAAATAAATAAGACCACTTTGGTCCTAAATAAAAAATTTTAAATAAAAAATTGAGATCTAAATTAAAAATAAATGCAATTGCCATTTATTTTTAATTCCTATCTGAAAAGATATGTTTAAATACAAGTTTTGAAATATAAACTAAGGTTTTAATGAGTTTTGGTACAATAAATAAATAAGAAATGATAAACTTTATATATAAAATAAAGATATAAAAAGAACACTCAATAACTTGCTTGTCTTTTATGTCAAAACATTTAAATGTGTATGTTTAGTACTGTGTTTGTGCATAAAGGCACTTCATGCATCAAACATAAAACCAGACACAGTGTGTAAAGAGAAATCTTCAAGTAAAATTTTTCTAGGTTCTAGGCAATAATGTGCATGTTAAAAAGTAAATGAATGGGGGAGGGGGCAGAGGGAAAAAGGGGAAGGGACTAGGGCTATTGAGGAATATTATATTTATTTATATATATTTAGGGCTATTTAGGCAAACAAACAACTTTTTTCAAATCTTTATTTTTAAGAAAATGTTTTGAGTTGTGAAGTTTAGGTTTTGAGCTTTAAAAGTACAAAAACTTTTTTCTTGTTATTTTTTTTATTATTTTATTTTTTATTATTACATTTTTTTATTTCCATTATCATTATTGTTATTATTTTTTATGTGATTATTCATATTCACATTATTCGCTTTTTTGACATTTGTTTTTAAAACGCAAACGCCTCTCTTTCAAATCAGCCAATCAGATTGTGTGTATCTATACCTTTTCTGAGCCTGTATAGGGTTTCAAAATATGCACTAGGAATGTGGTCAGGAGCGAACTCAAAACTTCTCACTTAAGAAGCAAGTGCTTCTCCTTAAAATTGATTTGAAGCATTTATTTACCATTTTATTAAGTTATTCACTGCATTCTTTCTTTATAGTGTTAAAAATTGGCAGTTTAGTGTGTCTTAGTAGCCAAAGTACATTGAGAGAGTTCAAATCCTGTCGCTTTTATATTAATTTTTTTAAATCTTTTCCAATTTTCTAAAATACAAATTAAAACATTTTAAAGTTCTTTTGTTGATATATAAAGATATAATATGCTATAACAAACAAAAGGGATAGAGTTCTTCTGTTGGTATATAAAGATATAATATGCTATAACAAACAAAAGGGAGAGAGTTCTTTTGTTGATATATAAAGATATAATATGCTATAACAAACAAAAGGGAGTGAGTTCTTTTGTTGATACATAAAGATATAATATGCTATAACAAACAAAAGGGATAGAGTTCTTTTGTTGATATATAAAGATATAATATGCTATAACAAACAAAAGGGAGTGAGTTTTTAAAAAGCCTAAAATTGCAATAAACATCAAAAGAGTGGTAGAAATATTTTGCGCTTGCATCATGATAGAGATGCTTAAGATATTAATGTGGTTAGGTAATTAGTTAAGATTAAGCATTCAACACACATTAGAGACAACTTTTTTTTATAGGAAAAAAGATTTAATATTCAAACTTTTATTTTCTTCAAAATTAAAAAATGGGTTCCTAATAAGTTCCAGATGGTCTTGAAAAAAATTTAATAAAAACTTAATAGAAATTTAACAAAGAAAAAAATTTATAAGCATGTACTCGTTTTACTATAGAAGTTTACAATTTTACAATAAGATGTTATAAAGTATTGAACATTAACTGTTAAATTCAAAACAAAGATTTGACAGATTTATTTTCTACCACTAAATGGTGGTTTGCACAACTACCGAAGCATTAAAAAATTTTTAAAGTTATGTTATAAATTATTTTTTTATTCATAACTTTAAAAGGTAGACAATATGTATTGTTTTAGAAATGATTGGTGTATAATAGACTTACTAAGCCCATATTTTATGGGTCCCGAATGCTAGTTAATATTATCATTATTACTATTTACTATTAAATATCAGTGAAAATTTATTTTCAGAATAGATATGATTAATTGTTCTTATAATTGATTTTACCAAGGCATTTAACAAAGTTTCTCACAAAAGGTAACTTAAATAAACTTAGGTAAAAGTTAAACCATGAGGTGTGAGCATAGTCTAATTGGACTCATGTCTATCTTTCAAACAGAAAACAAGGTATCCTCTTTGGCAATGTTTCATCAGAATTGGAATAGGTTACTAGTGGTATTTTACAACACTCAGTTGTTGGTCCAGCACTAGATTATAATGATGATCTGCCAGAACATATTTGAATTTAATCATGTTCAATGATCTGCCAGAACACATTGGCAGCAAAAGCATTGATTTACACAGACTTTACTTAAGTTTTTGATAAAATACCTTACCAACGCCTTCTTCTAAAGCATTAGTAAGGTACTTTATCAAATTTCAATTGAATAGAACTTGAAACAACAATTATTGAAAATGACTTGGGTACCCTAAAACGAAACAACCTTAAGGTTATGCATCAATTAGAGGCTGCAGCAGCTAAATCAAACTAAGTACTTGGCAGAAAAAAACCATTTTGTACTAGAGGGCTAATGTTATGGAGGGTATTCTACACAACATACATTAGACCTCATCTGGAGTATGTCATTCAAGCTTGGTCTCCTCACTTAAAAGAGACACAAAAAACACAATTAACAGCGAGCAACCAAAACAATAAGCATGATAAAGCACAAAAACTATGATGATCATACTCTGGCCATATCAAATCTTAGCACTCTAGATAAGCGACCTGATTCAGCAGTATAAAATCGCAAACATAATAGAAAAAGGCAATTTCGTAATTCCCCCCAGGGTTGCCAGGTTTTTTTTCGGGCACAAGCCAAAAATGAAACAAAAATAAACCAGAAATAAACCAGACCAAAAAAAATAAAGAAAAAATCATAATTTTTTGTTTTAAAGCCTTGTTTATAATATATATTTTGAAAAAATGCTTTTTTATTCAAAAATTTCATCCTTGAATATTAAAATTTAATTTGTAAGAGAGTGAGGGAAAAGGAGAAGAATGACTTAGTGAATGTTTAATGTGACGCCGGTCCAGCCTTCAAAGCGGCGTGGGGAAAGTAGTTCACTTCCAAACACCTATACAAAATCCGACACCATCAACCTGTAAAATATATTAAATTTTTTTGCTTGCATATTGATATAGATTTCTTTTCAAACCTTTGCAATAATTAACTCAATTATTTCAAAGTCCTAGTAAAAAATCTTTTGCCTTATTTAATATGATTTGATCCAAATAACTGCATGCAAGGCTTGGTTTGATATTTTCTTAGTCTGATTTATATGCAGATGAACTGTGAGAAGACTCAACAAAATAGTTAGAAACAGAACACATAGACAGCCATGGCAGTAAGCATCTATCTTGCAGAGGTCTTCTCTAATGATGCAATGTCAATTAATTTATGATTAATGATGATTTCTGTAATCAATTTCTTCACTTTTTGCATTCATAAGATGAAACTGTAGATTTGAAATGGCCTTTTCAACTTGAGAAACAACATTCGTTACAGGCAGTTTTTTCACACAAAAATGTAATTTTGAATGTAAGAATTTTTTTATATTTTTGGCAATTAAGGAATAAAAACAACATTTAAATTACATTACAAGTTAAAGTTTTTAACGTTTTAAGATTTTAATGTAAGCATTTCTTCCATTTATTTTAAACTTGATTGTTCTTCTATAAAATGAAAAAATGGAAATCTTTCTTTCCCTCAAATTAACTTTTTTCATGAAGCAAAAACTTAATTAAATTGATTTATTAATTAAACCAGATTTCAAAAACATATCAGAGAAAACAAAAAAAGACCAAAGACTTTAAAATAAACCAGATTTAAACCAGATTTTCTAAAATAAACCAAAACAAAAGTTCCAAGCCAAACGAAAAAAAAAAAAAAACAGATTTGAGAAATCTGGCTTAAAAAAACACCAGATGGCAACCCTGATTCCCCCATATGTGCAATCACTATCAGAGTATAATCTGAGTGGAATCAAAAACTAGCAAATTGTGAAAATCTGCCAGGAACTGGAACAATTTTTTTACTAATCGAATTGTAAATAACTAGAATGAACTACAAAAAGTTAACTAAATCAGTGCAAACTCAACTAAAATTTTTAAAAGTAGATTTGACGTGCTTTTAAAGCTAACCAGGACATATTGTATTCCCCAAAATATGTCATCATAGTGGTGTTTGGTGCCACAGCACTTCATTAAAGTTTACAACTAAAACTTTATTTTTTAATGATTTTTCAATTGCTTGTTAAATTTGATTTATAAATAAACAAATTCAAATTCAGATTTATTTTAAAATAAATTTTAATTTTAATTTATTAATAAATTGTTAATACAAACATGTTGTTTTAAACAATAACATTTGCTTTGTAACTTGAGCTATTTGTCACTTTGTACATTAACAAACACAAAATCCTATGAGGTTTACTTGGTCATTCAGAAAGATTTCTATGAAAAAAAAAATTGAGTCAATCTTATTTGCTCATTTTTAACTCACCACAGTGAATTTATAATAACTGATTAAACTTTAGAGTCTGATTTTATAAAATTACTAGACAATTTTCTATTTTTTTAATCCTAATCATAGAAAATCTACACTACGACACCACTACACACACCACTATCACACCACTACTATAATAATAATGAAAAAAATTATTGACAACTTTTTATTTTTTTTAGTCCTAATCATAGAAAATCTACATAGGTAGGATCATCACATAGGTAGAGGAAGGATCATCACATAGGTAGAGGTAGGATTGTCACATAGGTAGAAGAAGGATTGTCACAGGTAGAGGTATGATCGTCACATAGGTAGAGGAAGTATCATTATTAGACCTTAGCACAGATTGCAATAGTTTGTGGATAACCCATAGACATCTACACTTCTATTAAAAAAGCTTTAGGCTATACTTAACACTAACTTATATATGAAAAGAAAAAAGAAGAAAAGGAAAGGGTCCTACCTGTTATAATACCCTATAGTGATAAAGGAAATATAAAAAATAAAGAACAAAATAAGTAAACATTGGTACTTGATAAGAAATGACATTAAATTAAAAAAGTTCAAAAAAGTTACCAATACTGATATGTATTTTAATCACTGTTTTTTTAGAATATTGAAGCTCTTGAGTAGTCACTAAAACAGATTATTTTACAAATTTTAACTTCATTTCTTAAGCAGCAACCATATTATATTAGAGGGTAGCTCGATTTTAAAAGTAAAGCAGGAAAAAGTTGAAATACAAGCATAAACTAATTCTAAGAGATCAATAAAACTCAAATAATTTTTAATTAAGACAAAATTCATTTTTAAAGCAGAAAATCTTTGTTTTTAAAGAAGACAATCTTTAGTCTTAAATGAAGCTACCTTTTTTTAAACAAGACTTTTTATCATAGGGGCCTGCAGTATTTTTTGACGGTTCAGATATGACACTTTTAGGCATTGTATAAACTCCAAACCTAAGTAACATGCCTATGTTAAATTAATATGCTTTGCAAAAATTTGTGGTGATAGAGACCTGGGAACAAAAATACTCCAAAACACTTTCCTTAAAAAAAATTTTAAAACTTTTCCATTATCTTATACTAAATATAAATTGATCAACATGTTTTAAATTTCATTAAAATATCTTGTAACTTTCGATGTAATTTTTGTTTGATCATAACTTTTGAACATTAAAAGATTTTCAAAAGAAATTAAAATTCATTATTTAATTCATTAAAATTGATTTTTAATTGTAAAAAATTACTTTGAATAATTATAAAATGATTAAAAATGATTTTTAATTTACTGTATGTTTTCAAAACTTTAATAGTTCAATTCAACACTTAAGAGAAAAAAAAGATAGTTACTTGTTTTGGAAATTCAAGTACTGTTTTCATTATGAAGAACTTAAACGTAGAACATGCTTCATCATGATCAATGTCAAGCACATCTAACAAAACACCTATGAAAAAAAATAATTAAAAATTTAATATAATTAAAAAAATTGAAATCAAAATTAATCACTACAGAATAAAACTACCTTGAGGTGTATTTAACATTGACTGAAATTTTTTACTTATCCAATTGTCAAATTCATTTGATTCAAGAAAGGAAACCAATGTTTGCTGAAAACATTTAAAATTAAAAATTAAAGAAATTTTAATCATAAGTTGAGCAGAAATCAAAGTAAATGTGTCTCACTGGTTTTCTGCAGAAATTAGCATTAAAACTGTGTCATTGGTTTTCTGCAGAAATAGTAGTAAAAGTATCACTGGTTTTCTGCATTTTTTTTTATAAATAAAAGTTAAAACTCCTACAGAATTATTGTTATCTTGGAAAAATTTTGTTCTCTTGCTGTATTGCCATATATATTCTTCACTGAAAATTTCATCCAGGAATTGTCTAACAATTTTTGCTCTTTCATTTAGATAATTTGATGAAAATCTAAATGTTACAAAAATATTATAAAAATATTTTAGAATAGATAATAATGAACAAAATAAAGAATACAATTAATTTACAATCACATCAGCAATGAATCACATCAGCAATGAATCACATCAGCAATGAATCACATCAGCAATGAATCACATCAGCAATAAATCACATCAGCAATGAATCACATCAGCAATGAACCATATTATTGTTTTATAAAACTTATAAGACATTTTTGAATTTAGAAATTTTATGTTTAAAGTTATTATTTCTTATCGTTTTATTGATAGAACTATTTTTAAAGTATAGATTTTGAGGTATTTGATGTTAAAAGTTTTTAAAAGAGCTATCTATTAACATGTTAAAAAGACAAGAAATTAACATTGTGCATTTTACATCTTAAATATTTGAATTAGTATATATGTAAACAAAACTCTTAAGTCAGATATTTTTTATCCAAATCCACACCATTACACCCTCAAGACTTTCTATGTAACAAATTTATTAGAATTCAGTGAATATATTGTAATTTGATAGTAAAATATTTATGAATTACTTTTTATACCGTGGAACTTTTGGAGACAATACAAGCAGTGAAACCAGAGTAGCAACACCACCTTGAAAAAGAAATTTAAAAAATACCAACAATAAAAAAAATAAGTGTCTGTTTTTATATTAAAGAAAACAAGATTGTAAAATTAGGAGTTTTTTGTAAAAATAAAAAAAAAAGTTATTTTATATTATTAAAACAATGAGATGGTAACACATTATGTAATCAACACAAAGAAGATGTTGTACAAGTAACACAAAGAAGATCTTGTGCAAGTAACACAAAAAGATGGTTTGCAAGTAACAAAGAAGATGTTGTGTAATTATCAAAATATAGTACATTATTTTTAAAAAAATGTTAGTTTTTAAAGAAATACTAAAGAAGACAAAGCAGTTCCGTTATAATGAGATCAATAAAACATTAAATTTGTAAACAAATTGAAATTAAAAATAATTTATAATAAAATATATTTATAAAGAAATTAAGTTAAGACTTCAAATATAAAGGAACTTGTGACTGAGCAAAAATAAAAAACTTAAAATTATTTAAAACTCAGCAATCCTCAATTGCAACAAATTTGCAATTGTACATGTTTATACTGATACACATGTCATGATATATAAATAGATGTATTTAATAATACACAAATACATTTATTTACAGATACATAAGTAAATATATGCACTAATACATAAATACATGTATTTAATAATACACAAGTACATGTTTGTTATAACACATTAGTACATATATGTACTGGTACATAAGTATATATATATATATATATATATATATATATATATATATATATATATATATATATATATATATATATATATATATATATATATATATAATAAGTACATGTATATGCTACATATATACATTTAAATACTGATTCATAAGTAGATGTACTGATATAGTACTGATTAAAAAATTGATTAGTTAAAGATACATACTGTCATTCATAATTTCCTATGAGCTTTAGCTTTATTTTTTTTTTTTTTTTATGTTAGATATTTTTATTAGTAAGCTTTGCGACTTAAAAAGACTTTACTTATAAAATGGGTCATTATTTGTAAATAACCAAAAGTCATGAGATAGTCTTAATAAAAGTTCTATTGTAATGAGATCAAGTGTGATAAGAATCTTGAGCCCAATAAAAATCGGAGAGCCCAATAAAATCTCTCCTATAATGAGATTTTGCACAGTGCTTTTTAATGCAAATAATGAGACTTTGGTTAGGTTACACGAGGTCAGTCAGTTTGCTTAATCTCCTAAGGTCAGATATTAGGATAAAGTTTCAGAAGATTAAATAGATTTTGAAAATTATTATAGAAAAACATTTATTTTAAAGTAAAACATCTAGAATTCCAGATAATGATTGCAAAGATATTGATAACAAGTTTTTAGGTAATGTTGAGTTGCAATTTACTATAAATGAAATCTACTTGTAAGAACATATGCTCTTATATAAAATCTTATAAATATACAATTTAGCAATTTTTATAGAAATGTTTTTCAAGAAAGTATGTGAATGTGAACAAAAACTTAAAATAACTCCTTTTAAATGCAATTTTAAATGCAATTTTTCAAAAATGCTTTGTTAAAAGAATAGCTGCTCTGAATATAAATAAACACTATTTTTTCTAAAAATATATATTTCTTACCACTAAAACTAAAGATCCCAATGTATAGTAACAGTATTAGTGTATTGCGAACTATTTAAAAATATATATATTCAACATATTAGCTATAAATATAAAATTATAAATAGTAATGTTTACAGTATAAACCATTGAAAAACTTAAAAACTTGTAAAGTCAATTGTAGTAAAAAACCAACCTTTATCCTCCAGATTATCTTTATAAACAATTAAAACAATAATAGGAAAGATTACAACTAAGATAGATATGAACATAAAGAATAAAAGAAAAAAGTGTTTGTAGCATATTGCCAGGTACGTTTTTTTCTTGACCTTAAAATCAAAATTTTCTTGTATTTATTATCTTTACTAATAGATTAAAACATAAAATAAATTTAAAAATATATATACCTTTCTAACAATTCCTTCATCACCTATAGAAAGGTGATATCTATCAGCTAAAGAAACATTAATCTCAGAGTTTTCTCTCCAACATTCAGAAGGTTGAATGCTACAGTTGCTAATATCTTGTAGTTTACTCATAAAAAACTTCAGTTAATCACTTATATATATATACCTATATGTATGTTTGTATATATATATATATATATATATATATATATATATATATATATATATATATATATATATATATATATATATATATATATATATATATATATATATATATTATCTGAAACTATTATATTTATCATATGGTGATGATGATGATGATGATGACGATGATGATGATGATGATGATGATGATGATGATGATGATGATGATGATGATGATGATGATGATGATGATGATGATGTATATATATATATGTATATATATACATATATATATATATATATATATATATATATATATATATATATATATATATATATATATATATATATATATCATCATCATCATCATCATCATCATCATCATCATCATCATCATCATCATATGATAATCATCATCATCATCATCATCATTATCATCATCATCATCATCATCATATGATAAATATAATAGTTTCAACCTTTTCCTACAATTATATCTATGAATAATTTCTCTTAAGTTTGAAGTTGTTGTTGTTTTTTTAAAGCAGCTTTTATAAAATAAAACAGTAAAATTTTTGATTCGCGCAACATTTTTTCATCTATGTATTTTAGAAAGTATTTTATTTATCTGTGTTTCTGATTTGCATTACTAACTGAGTAATGCAAATCAGAAACAAAAAGAATACTAATTTATTATTAAACAAAGTAACATAAATTTTTATTATAAATATAAAGAAACTCTTAAGTTAGTTTTTTCTATAAATGAAAGAAAGTCATTTTTTTTAAGTTGTGCTTTGGACTTACGTTTTATTGTGCGTTACACTTATACCGTTATATATTTTTATTAATGGAAGGTCATAATGGAGTTTTTGTAACTCGGGTTACTAATAAGTCCGCATCAATCCAAAGTCGCTTCTCTTCTTCCGTTATCGCTTCTCTTCTTCCCCAAAGTACTAAATTAAATAAACGTTTGTACTAAAGTACAACCATCATCAAAACAGATACAAAGCATTTATAAACCAAAATGGATTATGATATAGTATAAATAGTATTTTAGTATAAATTTATAAGAACTAAAATTTACGACTTCGCGGCATGAAGACATCTGGAAAGAAACAAATTTTTGCAGCTCGAGTTTACTGTTCAATCGAAATCTATACTGTGTCCATTAAAACAGCTTAGGAGGTGGAGCAAGATATAATCACTAACTACAAAAAAAAAAAAGTTTATAAGCGGTGTTAAACGACCTGACCAAAGTGAGCCAGATAAAGGAAAACACGGTAAGGTCTGGAAAAACACGGTAAGGAAATTCAGATATTTGCAAAAATATCAGCAAGTCTGCGAATCAAGGATACTAGGTTAAATTTTAGAAAATCAGGAAGAAACCAGCTTAATTAAATTGTATATTTTAGACGTAATATAAAATTTTATTTGACAGTTTTTTTAGTTTTAAATTATATGGTTGTATATTGTTATTATACATTATATTGTTAGTTATACATTATATATAATAGTTCGACAGTTAAAATGATTTATTGATTATTGAACTACTATTAAAACTTTTAATGTGTGTTATATTAATGGTTATATTTTTTCAATTGAAGAGAATTTTTCTAAAAGAATCTAAGTTTAATTTTTTTGTAAATAAGTTAGGGTAACTTTATATTAAATCAGCGAAAACTGATTTAATATAAAGTTAAACTGATTTGATATAAAGTTAAACTGGGTGACTGGAGCCTTTATTTTACCATCAAGCTGGAAAATAAAATCAACACTTTGCCTAAAAAAGCTGTAGGTTAGTCATGGTTATGGTTAATTTTATTTTACTATTAATTTATTACTATTAAGTTATTGATATGTATGATCATAAAAATATGTTTTCTTTATTGTAGTTTTCTATACTGTTCTTAGCTAAAGTTCGGACTGTTGCGCAAGAGCTTCAATCGGCATCTGTTGTGACGTCAGATCCAGTTGCATCTATTCTTGCGGAAGTAAAAGAGAAAAAGAAACAGTAAGAGCAAGCAAAAGTTGAGAGAATGAACTAACTCTTGGCAAGTGAGATGGCAAAGAAACCAAAACTCCCAGTCAAAAATAAGTAGTGTATTCTAAGCCCGAATTGTAATTTGTCAATGCAAACATAATAAGAAGTCCAAAGCAGCATCTTATTCAGGTAAAAACATTTTCAAAGTAACTTTTCTATGGTCCAGCTGTTACTTTATTAAATTAATAAAAAATTAGATAAAAACATTTCGACATTTTATCTATTAATGTCATTTTCTCTCTTTTTTTAGATTCCATGCAATGATATGACCGGAGATTTCTAGTTTAACTTATAACGAAAGTGAAAAAAAATTTATATAAAACTTTGATCATTTAACAACAATTTAGACTTGAAAATAAATCTTTATCAAATAAAAATATTTTTTTTTTAAATTGATTGTGGAAAACACTAGCAGAAGTATAAATTTCCAGATGGCGAACATACATTTCTTGTATGTGGCCGCCTTTTAGCTCTTTCTGGGGCTATAGCCCCCGTATTTACTATCGAGGATCATTTATTCTATGGACATCGTAAAGACCAACTCTCGAACTATAGGCTTAGACTAAAATATGTATAATTTTTGAAAATACAAGTGAGAAATGAATATTTATATTGATTAGGTATAAATAGATTTAAATATATTAGATTTTTCTAACGCATTTTTCTTTTGTACAGAATTATTTTTCCACGAGAAAAAATCATATTTTTTACCTGATTTTTACATTTTGCTTCGTTAGAATTATCTTGTTCTATCTCCACTTTTTGAAAAATTGAGTTATTGATAGTGTTGTGTACCTCAGAATAATGTTTTTCTACTGTTATAAGTAAAAAATTTATTTATAAGTAAACCTAAGTTATAAGTAAAAAAGTTGCAGAGAAAACATAAGCTATAAAATACTTTTATATGTTTTTATCTCAAAACTCGAAAATATGGAGATAGAACAAAGTTAACTCTAACGTCGCGATTTAGCACAGTTATAAATCCGTCACTGATTTAGCAAGAAACTTAGAGTTGTAAATAATATGTAGTTTTATTTATTATATATATATATATATATATATATATATATATATATATATATATATATATATATATATATATATATATATATATTCAGAAAATAAAACGACATGATTTTCACAACTTTAAGTTTCATTCTAATGCAATCATCAGGTGAATTACAAATATAGTTTCTTCGTTAAAACTATTATATACAAATGGCACTAGTTACGTAGTATAGTTACGTAGTATAGTAGTAAACTATACAGAAAAACTTTAGTCACAAGCGCGTGTATCCAAATCTTCAGGTTTGTGGTTGCTAAATAGAAATTTACTTTCGTGACAACATCTCTGTTTTTTTATTCAGCAGCTCATCGGTCTTGAAAAAGAGATGTACAAATCATAAGCAATCATTTAAAAAAAAAAAACTTTTAAATGCAACCACGCTATCAAAATATACATCGTTGCACTGTTAAAATAGTTACCACTGTGCATCATTTTATGGTGCACTGTGGTAACTATGATAGTTGCTGATCTAGTTTTTTTTGAAACTGTCAATAGTAGAGACATTGACAAAATTGTCTGGCAAAGCATTCTAAGTATCCGCAACCCAATTAATAAAAAAGTTAAATTGAACTAGGCCATTACTATTAATTTTGCTACAAAGCGTTTGCGATGACCATAGATGAATAGAATGAATATTGGATCAGTATATCAATTAATTAAATTGGTTTTGTTTTCAGTTGTTAATTTTTAGATAAAGTCACGTTTTCTTTTGTCACTTAGTGAAGTTAGTCCAAGTGTAGCACATCTTGTCTTGTAATTAAGTTGATTTAATTCATAAGGTATTTTTGTGGCACGACTTTTTTTTTTTTCAATTTTAGTTATATCTTTTTTAGATGAGGGCACTAGGTTGCTACAGCATATTCTAGATATGGACGTAAGTAAGTTGTATAGAAGTTTTTTCAGACTATTATATCTTTGCTAAAAAAGGTGTGCTTTAACATACCTAAGATTTTATTAGCCCTAGCAGCAGTGAACGCTTGATTATTGTACTTTAGATCATCAGAGAGTTGAACACCAAGGTATTTTCCAATCTTGTTGTATTTAACCAGATTTTTTTGACTTTACTATTGGAGTTGTTGTCATTGATGAAATAGATATGAAGGACAGATCTGAACTGGTTGATATGCATAACTTTTCATTTTTTGATTTTAAGTTGCATAAGCCTTATTTGGGTCCAATTGACAATGTTATCAATATCAGCTTCTGGACAAAGTTTGCTTTCTAAAGTGTTAACTACACTAAGGATCTTTATGTCATCTGCGTAAACCATTAATATAGACTATAAATAAGATTGTACCGTGAACTGAGCCCTGAGGAACGCCACTAGTAACCTGTTCCCAATTGGATGCAATATTTCCAATTATGACACATTGTCTTCTTTTGGAACGAAAAACACTAATCCAATTTAAGACATTGTCTTTAATCTCATAAGATTCAAGTTTTATAAGTAACAGTTTAAGAGGAACTTTTTCAAAAAACTTTGCAAAATTGAGAAATAGGGCATCACGAGACACTTTTGTGAGGCAGTATAGGTTAAAAATCTATAATTTCAAGTAAATTGTTTAAGTAAAATTTTGACGTTTGGACAGAAGATTGTTAGATAGTATAGCGATGCATAACTTTCTCTTTCACCATTTTTTTAATTATTTCACATATAAAGCTGCTACTGTGCTGGCGCATATATTAAGAAAGTGTGAGCTTATTTTACCTTCTCCAATAAATTTATAAGAGTCAAGTTTTACAGTCTTAGGATGTTTTTCTACAAAATATTAAAAAGAGAAGCAGATGTGCGTTGAGAAAGTTGAGGTAGAGTTCGATTATAAATCTCAATAGTAAAGATAAATCCTTGTTCAGTGTGTTAACAATCAAAAAACTATTGGTTCAAAGTTTACCGGAAGGTGAATGCAATATGTTGATATGATTA